AAAATATTGTTTTTAGTTTTATTTTATATTAAAAATTAAGTGTAGAATAACTTTTTATTTATGCTTTGTCGCAACTATAATGGAAAACAAAAACAGTGCGATTCGGTTTCTTTTAGCGAGAGCTAAGACGATTAGTTAGCTAGATCAGGTAGAGGATTTGTGAATCTTGAAAGTTAGTTCAACCAAGATGGTCAGCGCCATGCTAGACATTGGTGCCATTTTGCCACCTGGATAACCTTTTGACCTCGGTCTTCTGGTGAACAGCAATCTGCGCGTTGACCGATAGTCTTTGACCCTAACCCAGTCCCTAACCCACCAGTTCAGGGCATTTATCAAGATGACAATTTAAATCACCGGAACATATTTTTTTCTCTGTTTATTTACTGCGCTAGGTCTGGGTAGTATCTGGTCGTAAAATAATAAATACCCCCCCCCCCCCGCTCTCCCACCCCTTACCTACACACGAGACACTTTTGCTAGCACACGTACACATCTGATGTACAGATACCTAACACGGTTAGCTAGTACATGTACACATCTGATGTACAGATACCTAACACGGTTAGCTAGTACATGTACACATCTGATGTACTGAGGCCTAACACGGTTAGCTAGTACATGTACGCATTAGATATACGAAGGCCTAACACGATGATGTACGCAACAGTCCCAGAATTACACACTGCCCTGTGCAGTATCGCGTAACTTCATATGTGGCACCGACGTGGCCCGATTCGTGGCTCCTACATAACTCTAAATGTGGCCTAAATAAGTGGCGCATAACATGGCTCTAAGAGCAAACGCAACGTGGCTCCAATCGTGGCCCATAACAGGGCCAGTTTCTGTCTATAGTAGTCTCATCACGTGGCTCTCAATCGAGGCCCCAAATACGGCTCTTGGCGGTTGAAGGAGTTTCAAGTTAATTCAAGATTTAATCCACAATTACGCATCACCCAAGGGGAAACAACGCCCTGTGAATGAAGGAGGTACGTACTCAAATTACTTCCCTTCGTTATCATAGTTATTTTAATCACATCTCAACACATTCATCGGAATGTGTAACAACACATCACGGAGTTGAACACACTCCAAGGGTGTATAAACATTAGAGTAGTAACACCATGAGGATGTTTGATTACCACAACACACTTGGGGTATAAATTCTCGCCTTATCTGATCTCAAACAAATAAATTACTCTTTACGACACGTGGCCTCAATTTACCTAGCCGCGCGCGTCCACATTACATTCATTTTGGTTCGTAGCATGCTGGTCGTTACATTACATTACATTACATTCATATATATATATATATATATATATATATATATATATATATATATATATATATATATATATATATATATATATATATATATATATTGCCTTAATATGAATATATATATATATATACATATATATATATATATATATATATATATATATATATAAATATATATATATATATATATTCATATTAAGGCAATATATATATGTATATATATATATATATATATATATATATATATATATATATATATATATATACTTATTTATATTTTTTATCTCAGCAGTATGCGTGTGTCAATGCTGAAAATAACTTTCCATTTATAGTCTTAGTGACGGGATATTAAAGACCCCAACTCCTCTCCCCCACCCCCTCGTGATGGTGTCGATGGGAGGGGTTGGGTGGAGGTGAGTTGCGTCTAACCACCACACACCTACCATGTTTGTTCAGTTTCTGACGTCATAAGTAGCCACAAATCATCAAACCGTATCTAATTTTATGAGGCAAGGAATTGTCCCACCCCCACCCCCCTCTTATCTAGTACTTCCGTCCATATAATATTAACAAGGGTTTGCTCGTATCTCGCTAGACCTGTTCTGGGCTGGTACCTACCCTTGGTGTAGTGCTCTATCTCTTGTGCAAGTAATAATTCACTTTTCTTCCCTTGACCAACATTTTGTTTTCATTTAAATTCGCATGTTCACACACACCGGAATATTTTTCATGACCGATAACTCTAGCTTTTCCCCACTAATATCTTTTTCACGTTACCACCCCCACAAATTCATACATTACCACGAGGCCTGCTAACGAGGGGTGGTGTGGGAGGAGGAGTTGTAATCTCCTCCTCCATTTAGGGAGCGCTAATTAAATTCTGCCTCCCAAAACAATGGACCCAACCTCCGTGTTATTTTTGGTTCTCTCCCCTGGTGTGTCGTTATTTTTCTACCGGCAACACAAAAACTGCATTCACCGTGGGGTCAGAGGTCACACCGGCATCGCGAAACTGGTAGTGAGCGGGTGAGACGAGGACGGTCAACACGGTAGGGTCAAGGAAGTCAAGTTCCCCCCCCCCTCCCCCTCCTCTCTCCCGGGTTAAATAACTGCTGTTTAGAGCTGGGGAAAAAATTAATTAAAAGAAAACGTCATAATTGTTTAAATCTTACAACATTATATCATTCAAGGGTTCAGTAAATTTTCAAAAATTAAACTACCACAAACAAATTATTATTTACCACGACTAAAGACTGACAAATCACAAAAATCAGGCGTTTTGTCCGTTTTAACTTGCTCGTACAAAGTATAGAGGAATTGTAAAAAAAAAAAAAATCGAAATCGAGATGTTCACAAATCTTGACGTTTTAGTAAAACTTGTACTCCTCCCTGAGTCGGAAAAACAGAGTTTAGCAATTTTGTCCGTATGTCTATGCGTGTGTGAATGTGAACACGATAACTTGAGTACAGTTACAGTTAGGTTTATGAAATTTCATATATAAGTATTGTATCAAATTTGTTATATATCAAATTTTCAACGATTCCGTTAACCGGAAGTGGAACTCATTCAACTTTTGGTTTTTCAAAAGCCTATAACTTGAATACTGTTTCAGATGACAGACAAAATTTCATATATAAGTAAAAGATCTAAGTATCTGCCTTTGTCAATTTTTTAGTAGTTTCCGTTTACCGGAAGCAGTACTTAACGATGTATTCAATTTCTCACAAAAACGCATTTGAATTTATAAAGTACTAATATTCCGCATTATTATAGACATATTATTTGCTGTTCACTTAGTATTCAATTCTTTTTTCTACAAGATTCTATTCTATTATAACAAGTTTAAGTAATTAAAAATTTATTTAAAATTATGTCTATATCCCGAGTTGCGATGAGATTACGCGAGAAAGTTTAGGGGAGATCACTCGCGCTTTATTTTATACAACTTTCTCTTCACCCCACCCCCCCCCCCCCCCCCTTCTTATAACACTGGCTGACTTTATGATCGGATTTAGAAAATGGCGTTTGGGTCCTTAAGAACCAGAAACAATAAGTGCCTCAGCTGTAGGAAGTATAAAGTATCCGTGCAGGCAAACATTGACTGCGCCTTGTTGACACACAGCCACAGGGAGGTAACTCGTCTACAGGGGGAAAACACGAGTTGTCGACACGCTGATAGGTGCCGTTCACTCAATGTGAAGCCACCGGATATCTGCGGGGGTAGGTGAGGGGTGGAGGAGAGGGTGTTTTGGCCTACCTGTGGCTCGATGGTCGAGTTGTTAGCGTGAACTACATGTAGCTTACTCCTTGGGTTTAAACTTGAGGTCCCGTGTTCAACGATCAACAGTTTAAACATTTTAAAAAAACGTTATTTAATTTTTCATTGCTTGATATAATGGTGGCTTGAGGTTCAAATCCATCTTGTGCCGAGTAGTAAACCCTTCCTTATTCCCAGTAGAAATGTGTTTATTTCTATATTGTAGTACATTAGCAACACCTGTTTTTTAGGTTGTAGGCCTACATGGCTCAACTTTTCGTTTTGTGTTTTCTATGTTTAAAAAAAGTTCTGATTTGTGGTCTTTGTGGTGTAATTTAAATTTATGTGATATGTGGTATGTGGATAATTTGATTTTTATCTGTTGTATATGGTTACATTTTCTGTATGTGTTGTTAAATTTATTTCAATTGTGGTTTATGGTTCAATTTGCTTGATCTGTGGTGTGTGGTTAATTTACTTTATCTGTGATTTGTGGTTAAATTTGCTTTAATTGTGGTGTGTGGTTAAATTTGCTTTATCTGTGTTATGTGTCTAAATTAGCTTTATATGTGGTGTGTGGTTAAATTTGCTTTATCTGTGGTATGTGGCTTAATTTCCTTTATCTGTTGTATGTGGCTTAATTTCCTTTATGTGTTGACTGTTGTTAAATTTGCTGTATCCGTGGTTTATAGTTAAAACTGTCGAAATGATAGAAGAGGCTGAAATCGGTGGAGTTATAGATCTAGGCTATTTTATCGTGAATTCAGCCAGTGCTGGGAGAAGATAATATACACGCTAGAAGGAGTGGGCGATCGGAAGTTGATGCGTGATGTATGCCGGATGTTGAAAGATGATATACGCCGGAAGTTGCCGCGTTGTCTTGACCGGAAGTTGACAGATGATGTAGACCAACACGATGAAGGGAGCATCCGTCGACAGTCGGAGAAAGGTCACTGTCATGGAGTTGCTCTCTTTACCGCTAGGTCAACTGCTGCACAGGTCAACGGTCAACTGGTACATCGGTCAACGGTCAACTGGTACATAGGTCAACGGTCAACATTTACATAGGTCAAAACCTGCTCATGTCAATCAACAGTAGCCGCCCTTGTTTATACTTGCGCGGGTCAGCACTTGCAAAAATCATCGATTGCACTTCGCCAAAAACTCCAAGCTACAAAACTCAAATTAGCCGAAACATTGGTAAGTATTTTAAATTTTCTTGGAATGTAAAAATAAGCGCAATTACATAAACATTGTCCAAATTATAAAGCACATATTATTAATTTTACTACATACATACATGCACATACTCACGCACAAACATTTTGGATAAAAAACAACGTTTCAAATAGAAACAAAAGTACACTAGGAACTTAGATTCTATAATGAAATTTATTCTGTAGCGTGTGACTTATGTCCTGTACTCAGTGAATAAGGTCCTTAGCGTGGGAATTGTGTGTCCTGTGGTTTGTGACAATGTCCTGCGCTGTGTGACTCATGTCCTATCACCTGTGGTCAGTGACTAAAGTCCTCCTGTATGTGACTTATGTCCTACTGCCTGTGACTAAAGTCCTACTGCCTGTGACTTATGTCCTACTGCCTGTGGTCTCGACTTCGGCTTGAATGTATCCAGGTAAGACAGGAGACTCAGACAGGCTCGCTTGAGGTCGTGCATGGACGGCTTGTACAACCTGCAAGACAGCAGTTTAAAATTTTAGACTGGGGGACAACACACTTTTCATTTTTTACTGCTGGTATAGTACTAGGAGCAGTTTAAAACTTTAGACTGGGGGACAACATACTTTTCATTTTTAACTGCTGGTATAGTACTAGGAGTAGTTTAAAACTTTAGAATGGGGGACAACACACTTTTCATTTTTAACTGCTGGTATAGTACTAGGAGCAGTTTAAAACTTTAGACTGGGGGACAACACACTGTTCATTTTTAACTGCTGGTATAGTACTATGAGCAGTTTAAAACTTTAGACTGGGGGACAGCACACTTTTTATTTTAAACTGCTGGTATAAAACTACCAGTATAGTGACTAGGTTGAGTGTAGTGGGAGGTTCATAGTGGAGGCGGAGTGAAGTTAAATCCAAACCTTAATGTTGGTTTTTATTTTTAATTTAATTTCTTTTTGTTTTGTTGCTCGTATATTTATATTTCAACCAACAAGAGTGAGTTTAAGAATAACATTGGGTAAACGCCGAATACCAATTTAGGGATAAACTGGGCATGTACGATTATAGATAGTCGACTACAAAACTTCACAACCAGTACTTGACTTCAGAATTTGATTAGAGAAGTTTAACAATATAAACTTGACTTTTAAAAAGGCAATGTTTAAAACATTTAGTGTCTTTGTTTTTAAAAGTTCCTTTTAAAATTTGCATTTTTTTTATTTAAAAAAAAAACAAACGAAGAACGATTTAAATGGACCACGGACTGACGTCATTGATTTCACTCAACATACCCCGGGGAAAATTCGATTGGGCTTGATGTTTGAAGTCATCTCATTTGTTTATTCAAAGAACGTTCATAAAAAAAAAATCAACGAATTTGTTGAGCCAGAGTGTTTAAAAAACTTGAGTATGGTCACTTTAGGGGGGGGGGGGGGGGTTGGGTTGGCTAGTATCAAAGATGGCGCCTATGATAACAGCAACAGAAATGGAAAATCGGATCAACATTTACCAAACATTTTGAAGGGAAGCTACTCCCAGAAAAGTTTTTTTTTAAAACCGTGGCCTTGACCAAATGGATATAACACAAGCCCTTGTTTTATCTTGATATCTATAAAGTGACCTATTTTTCACAATTGACTCCCCCCCCCCCCCCTGCTAACATACAACCCTAAGTAAAACACACACCTGAACGAAAACCTACCCTGGGGCCAATGTTTACTTTTTTCTTAGTGCTGACGACTTTCCCAAAGCTGTATGTTTCCCAGAATCAACCTCTTTTATTACTTTAACCTTTCCCAAACAATACCCCTAGCGGAGATTTAATCTATAACCCTAAACAGCTCATTAAACTGACTCATAGCAAAAACTGACTCCTAGCCGAAAATTATCCCTCCAAAAATTACCCCTATCCAAAGCTAACCTCTAGCCAAAACTAACCCCCTAGCGAAAACTGGCCCCTAGCGAAAACTGACCACTAGCCAAAACAGACCCCTCCCCGAACTGTCCCCTACCCAAAACTGACCCCTAACCAAACTCACCTCTAGCCAAAACTGACCCCTAGCCAAAACTCACCTCCTAGCCTAAACTGACCCGTAGCCAAAACTGACCCCTACCCAAACTGTCCCCATACCCAAAAATTACCCCTAGCCAAAACTGACCCCTGGCCAAAACTGACCTGCCTACAGCAGAGCTCGACCTTGACCTGCCCAGAAATGACCTCTTGCCAAAGATGAGGTTGTTCATGTTCGGGTTGACCCCACCTCGACCAAACAGCAGGTGATGTCCGGTCTGCTCCTTGGTCCTCCCTGGTAGCGGTCGCTAGATGACCCCACAGCGATGATGACGGCGAGAACTAGACTGACCTTCATCTACAGAATCAAAATAAACTCGACATTAGCACACTTAAGACAAACGCTTCAAATATGTGATCTGTAATGGATTGACGATAGAAGCATGTGGTTGTATATAAAACGTTATTGGCCTCCAACTACATGATGATAACGAGAGAGGGCGGAAGTGACGAGAGACAAAGATATATATACATGTAAGGGACATCACTCAAGATAACAGTATAATATAATACTAATACAAGAAGAGTGAGTTCCCTTGACTTCACAAGTCTCACTATATTACATGATCAACAAAATGTTGGCCATCCCCAGTATAAATAAACAAATTCGGCTAAGGTAAGAACAGTGTAACATTTTATTATAGTATTTTAAACATCTTATTTTATTCACGATAAATATTTATTTTTTTAAATTTTTCTTTTGTCTTTTTTATTTATAAATAATCTATTTTTTAAGCTCTAATAATTGATAACTCTTCCTTTTAATTTTATGAAAATTTAACTTCATATTTTGAAGTAAAAAAATGGCATTTAAATTTTAGGAGATGTTGTTTGTTTTTTTGTTTTTTTTTTATTATTTTAAACTAGATCTAGAAATCTAGATTTCAAGATATATCTCCTACCTACCCCATTGAAAAATATTTTTATCACAGAGATCTTAGTACCAGAGTTTCTTCCAGGCATCTCTTCGGGGTGGGGGGGGGGGGGGGGAGGGGAGGGGGGGTGCTTAGCTCCCCCCCCCCCCCCCAAGAAAGTCTACAGCTTACCCCCGAACGAAATGATATTTATATAGAAAATATATATTTTAACAGTGCCCCCCCCCCCCCCCCCAAAAAAAAAGAAAGTCTACCGCCCCCCCCCCCCCACCGAAAATTTCAAGTTCCCCTCCCCCCCGGAGAAAAAGTCTGGAAGAAACACTGCTTAGTACCAACCCGAGGCAGCCACGACTGAAGGTTATATTATGTAAGCTTTCATTTTCAAAGGTAAGTGTGTTTTAATTAATTTACAGAGCTTATAATTAAAACAGTTTTCATTGAACGTTGCTATCGTGAGCCGCGGAAAAGTCCGCTGTGCCTCGTTCGCTGTCGTCTGTTTTCATCTTGCCCAGCCGGAGTAACAGAGGTGACCCTCCAAACGAGGCTGAACGGTGACGATCATTTTTTGTGTACCGGAAAATTTTTCATGGTACAAAACTTCTTTCATGTATGAGTGGGACCGCGTTAAAATGCGCATTGATTAATCAGTTGTGTGTTTTTCATTCCATTAGGCTGAGCTGATCTGCATGTACAAAAAATTCATCCCCGCGAAAGTCTGGTTGGTCGCAAGCACAGCATCAACATGTTGTTGTATCGTTTAGAAAATGTAACTTACTAGGTCTAATTTGTGTTCATTTTGTGTGGCTGTGTCCTGCATTTGGTTTAATATAGGTCTAGGCCAGGGTCGGCAACCTTTTGAAGCGGAAGAGCCAAAAGTTACAATTTTCAATATTTCCCTGGTTTTAAAGAGCCACTAACATTTTTTTTTATTTCAAATATTTTTATTTTTTTATTAAGATTATTAGTATTTGTTCAAGGAGCTGGAGAGCCGCATCTTGATATCAAAAGAGCCGCATGCGGCTCGCGAGCCGCAGGTTGCCGACCTCTGGTCTAAGGCTGTGACTATATCTGTCGTTTGACTATATCTGACCCGTGACTATATCTGACCTGTGACTATATCTGACCCGTGACTATATCTGACCCGTGACTATATCTGTCGTTTGACTATATCTGACATGTGACTATATCTGACCTGTGACTATATCTGACCAGTGACTATATCTGACCCGTGACTATATCTGACCTGTGACTATATCTGTAACTATATCTGTTGTTTAACTATATCTATTGCTGTTATAACCTGTCTGTATATCAGCTTCTACTATCCTATGTTAATTTTTACTTTCTTGTATACGGGGTGTGGGTATAAG